ACTTCGGTGTGACGAAAGCTATTGCGCGGGAGAAGGAGAGCGGGATCGACGTCTTAAACCTGGCTGTTCAGTAGGTACTGCCTCCTTGTTAGAAGTACGGTAGTCGTAAAAGTGAGAAAGGGCTCTTTGTGAAGGGATGTCCTCCAGGCGTGATATGTAATCTTCGTTCATGTGTCGACCGTCAAACTATGGTAGAAGAGGGCGAAACGAATCACTGCGGTGCCAGCAATTCCAGGCAATATGACCTACACCTCCATAGTTGAAGCGTACTGGACGTCGATCAATTGTGCGCCACGCATCTGTTCTTCAGAGCAGTAGACGTCTGAGTCTCCCATCTTGTGACGATGTCCATGGTGCTGCTGTGGACGCCTGGTGGTATATTGGTAGTCTTGACGGTTGGCTCAGTGTCTGCTCTTGCAGCGGGGACCAAGAGGCTGTTGGCACTGGGCGACGGTATGGTGGTGATATAGCAGATGGTGAACGTCGGAGAGCGTCGGCGTAGCTCATGGGACGCTGCTTGTCATCAGAACCAGCGGCAGAAAATGCGTTGAGCGTCGGACGCAACGATAGTTTGAGCAGGCAGAGTTCGGAACTTCTGTAGTTCTTCGCGAACTATATCTCTAATGAGGTCTCGCAGGGAGCTTTATTTCTCAAGTATGGTGGCACCATAGATTTGGGTGCTGCTAGACATTCGACGATACTGCCTGCATCGTTGATGGAGGGCCCGCTCAAATGCCATAGACTTCTTTATGAAGTCAACTACGGTACTTGTAGGGTGGCGTAGTAGCCCCGCAAAAAGTTGCTTTTTAACGCCGCGCATGAGGTAGCCCGACGAAAAAGACGAATCATATCCACAGTGAACATCGCAACGGTTTCATGGGACCTTTGAACCCGTAGCTCCAACAGCTGCTGCGCATGGTCCCGTTGATCAACATTGGCGAACGTGTCGACAAGCTGTTGTCGGAAATCGCCCTAAGTTGACAGACTGGCTTCTCTGTTTTCATACCAAATACGCGCAGTGCCGTCAAGGTAGGAATAGGCGCATCAGAGCTTTTCTTGTTCAGACCACAGATTGATCTGGGAAACATGCTGTTAGTGCTCAAGCAAAACGTCAACGTCTTAATTGGCGCCGCCACTAAAGTTATCGGGAACCAGCGGTTGAAAGATGGTGATCGACGAAGGGTGTGTCGGCGGGGGTCATTGGGTCGCCTGATGCGGACTGGCGTTGACCATTCAGTGAGGTAAGCGGCGCCTAAGAGGTTCCGGGGAAGGAATGAACTCTGGCGCGAGGCCTAGCTGCCGCCATCTGAACCGGTGCACGGAGTTGCAATAGATGGCAATGCGTCCGGGCTACATGAATGGTTCCCAGTGGGAATATGGAGCATCATGCAGGGTTGCGGTCCTGCACCTCCACCAGTGTTGTGGTACAACGTGAACAAAAGGCAGACAGACGTTGACACAGGGTTTATTATCAGCCCAAAAGCAAAATCATCTTTTTTGTCTTCGACCAGCCAGAGGTTCACTACCCGGTGTCTGCCAAACCTTCTTATCGTCGTGTTGTCGTGTTTGTCCACCAGTACACACTCGTCAGTATATATATATATATATATATATATATATATATATATATATATATATATATATATATATATATATATATATATATATATATATATATATATACATATCAGGAGAGGCAACTTCACTGACGCCGCTCGCACTTCGGTATAAATTTGCATATACAGAGGCGACACGACGCTTATTCCTACATATCACAAACTTCAATCATAGGTCGAGGAATGGAGCCCCTTGCCCAATTTCAGCGTCCAATATCCGATGCTCATCTTGCTATCACGCCTCTCTCTCAGATTATGTTTTGGCGGTTTACATCAACAGACACCACAAAAGTTTAATTAATTTTTCATGAATGGTAATTGTCAGCATAGAGATGTACTAAGCGTCAATGAGGATACATCCGCGTTGAACAGGGCTATAGCTACCAAACACCGAAACATACATTCGGCAAACCCGGGCTCCCTAATCAATGTACTGTTAACGTTTGATTACCCCTGTGAAGGCGCGTTTTACTTTCGTGTTATATGCCGATGCCTCTGTCGGAGGGAATAACCATGTTTTTCAAGAAAAGATTACAGTTATATTTCTTTCATAAGTATTACACTTTTTTGCATATATACAGACTTATGTGTATTATAATTTTCTTATTAGCTAACAGTCTCAACTTCTCGACCCTTGTTTTTTTAAAATGTATCGCTTGTGGTGTTAGAGGGTAGTACGTTGTTTACACTTATTGTGTTCGTATCAAAATTTTTTAACTGGCCCCCAGGTGGCCGCGTAAATACACCTAACAAACGGTGTGAACATAGTTTTTTCTTTGAAAGAAGAAAATGTGGCTGATTATAACGTTAAACTATTCCTCGTTGCTTCCTTACGAAATGGTCATTAGATGTATGTTGCATTCAATTGAATTTATTGCGCAACAAGGTTACGCGGAGACCGAGCGAAAAAGCTTCACTGAGCTGCTTCAAGGAAACCTTGGGAGAATGTTCGTGTAAACAGTCTTTGTTATGCACACAGCACCAGCTTGTCACGCGAGGCAACGAATGACGTGAAAATGACCCATCGCGTTATTCACTTGTGCACAACCGCGTGAAAAAAAGGAGCAAAAACTATTTTCAATATGGCTTATCATTTTTCGTTGGTTCATCGGCATTTAAAACTTTCGGTGTGCCACAAAATCGCCTGCTTGGTAGAAGACGTCACGAAGCTGGAAAGCATAACCTTCAAAATGTAATTTAAGCAGGCCAGCTGCCAATCACATGAGCATCGGCTACATGTAGCAGCTGGCGAGATGAATTATGAGTTTAATAAAATATTTGCACATTAAGCATAATGCTTTGTTAGTAGTTTGTGCGCGCATACATCTCTGTGAGCTCATACTTGCCGAGAAAAAGAAAAATAGAGAGAGATAAGCAGCGCTGCACATGTGCGCTTCTTTGCTGTCCGAAATCTGTTTTAAGTTGTAAAGCACAGATCAAGTTGAGTGAAAACCGAATAGCTCGATTCCGACCATAGCTTCTATAGTGCTAAAAAATACCAGGCCTACACGGAAGGCACAGCACAGTCACAGTGAAAGCTAGAAGAGCGGTCTTTCACAGCCTTTTCTTAACACTCGTTGGGTAGCTGATGCAAGCACACTTGCTCAATACCCACTACGGCATTGATAATGAAACTTTTTGGGTAGTAGGCCGGCATTCGCTTTGCTATTTATGCCTGAAGTGGGTATGCGCCACAGCTAATGGGTGAACAAGAACAAGTTTTTGTAATTCGGTGGAGCTTTTTACGACCCACTCTTCACGCTATGCACACTGTGCAAAGAGTGGTTGTTCATTCGCGGCTTTAAAACGTTTAATAAGTGGTAATAACGTGATTGCTTTCACGACGTCAAGCCTGCCTAAGGAAACATTTCCTATATTGGGCTGGCACCGAGGAGACCCGGCATCCAGCCCTACTGTGTAAATGGTACTAGGTTACTTATTTTCTGATTTCGTGTCATACGGTTATGGGCACCGGCGGCGGCGGACAACTACGGCGCCGCGCGTGACCCGAGTTTTAGTCTCAACAGTTTTCGCTGCGAAACCACGGTATTTAACCTTTTCCCTGGTCCGGTGGATCAAGTTGTTGGGCAAGCTTAAAAGCTGAGTTTCCTACTGAGCTCGAGTTCACTGCTTTATCCGTGGCCACTTTGCAATATGCCGCAATGGCTCTAAGTTACCATAAGCAAGGCTGATAAGGTTTATCATAGACAAAAGCGGAAAAAAATTTTAGCTTCTCAGTATGAAAAACTATAACATAAAAAACGATTCGTCCCACTCATCGGCTGGCAATGGCTTCGACAGACCAGTGGTGATGGTATATCCTTTTAGAAGAAAGTTATTTTCCGGAAGCAGCGAATGCTTTGACCAGTCATTGAAAAGTTCCCTCGTTCCCATCCGTAACTGCATCAAGTCACAAAAGAATGAAAGCATGAACAAGTGATGTAATATTGTGACAAGTGATGTAGTATTCAGCGCTTGCCTGCTCTGCGATACTACAGGACAAGACACGAAAGCGTCGCACATGTGACTCGCACTGCAAAGAGCCTACAAGTACAATCATAACAGAGAAAAACTTGTTGAAAATTAACTCTGTTGCAACATTGCCTCATAAGATTTTCATTCTCCGTAAGAACAAAATTGACTGAATACTGTTGTGACAGAAAACTTCGTTTTACTTGTTAGTTTCCCCAGCGGGCCGCCAAGAGTGACCATGATGCACTGTCGAAAAAGGGGGAGTGCTCAGCCCCCCACCAGCATTTATGAGTGTTGGGGGGGGGGGCTAGCACCCCCATTGCCCCCCACCGGCTGACACGCCTATGGTGCGTTGTCTGCATTCCATGACGCGATAGCTGTTCTAAATCGCACCTAATCGGTTTCGCTAGGCTTTCTCTGCCAACGCTTGCGTTCGGCTTCCCTGGCTCACACTTCATAGGTGTTGATGTCGCCATTTGTGAGCGCGATTGCCTTTACTACCCCTCGCAACGTGCACACTAGCGCGAAGCATGCGGCGACCACGTCCCGCCCGTCGGCGTGGTCACGCGGCAAGCAGCGGCGAACTGTCCACAATGTCGGTCCCGCGAGATTGTTGAGGCGCGCGTACCTGCCAGCTCACCGCTTCTCGCCGAGAGATCGAGGTAGAGCGGCTGAGATGACGCCCACGTATGAAGTGGGCTGGAGCGTTGTGAGTGGTGGAGAGGATTAAGCGAGGAAAAGCTGACACGCGGTGAGTGCGCGGCAGGCGAGGGAGAGAGACGTCAGCACACACTGCGGTGAGGGGAGTGGTGCGGACGGAGGGACAGCGTTATGTAGGCACTACAAGGAGCTGCTTCACAACTAAAAAAAAGCAGATGAGGCCACATTACTCGTTGGCGCCCTCCGACAGTGATGCCCCGAAACGGTATCCTCCGCCAGGCCAACAACCTGAAGCTGACAACTACGTGCAACCAGCCAGCAGCACATGTTCTGGCAGCGGCTACAGGAGGTGACGCCAGCGCAGGTGACGTACCAGTGCTGCAAGGAGTGGTAGGTTACGTGAATGCGGCCACGGGGACGACGGGGAAAGCGACCGAGAACCAACTAAGGTCAAAGGGCGGCGATCTTAGAAGTTCAAAGAAGCCACATTCCGTAAAGAGTGGCATACACGCATCTACCAATTGCGCCGCAGCGTCGAAATGACCCCATTCTTCGACCAACAATGACCATGCTCAGGAAACAGTGCATGGTGTCGAGGAACCCCCTGCAAAGACGCCACAAGTATTGCGGTCCACCCTGCGCCCGCGCGCTAACCTTGCGCCACAAATGCGACACCCAACCTACGCACAGTATAGGGTAGCGTCACCTCGGCGAAGTCCTGGTAGAATTCGAAGACGGAGTTGAGTATAGGGCATATAATCGTGCGTGCGTAATATGTGGCTCGTTCCCCTGCGACATGTGCGTTCGCGAGCAAGCATGCGGAGCTTCTATGCAGCATTTCTCGAGAGTGGAAATGATATTTGATTGTTTTCAGTATGGTCAGATTGGGTCACTCGATCAACCCATTCATTACCAAAAGCCTTACAAGGACTTGGAAGCCATTCAAAGGCTATTTATAGTCTGTTCTAAGTTAAACGGCCGTTGCCACAAAGGCATGCATGCTCGTTGCAATCGATGTGATAATGAGTTTCCCATTTTCGTTACAATCATTTTTTTGGCGTGGTAGACAGTCACTTTAAAACTGCTCGCGCTTTAATTCATGCTTTCCTATACATAGAATTCAGCCATATGCTAAACCTTCACTGACAAAAGACACCGCTGTCTTCATCGATTACATCGTAGTAATACACAATGTAAAGTTCTAAAGTAACCTCATATTTTTCAGCCGCATTGCTAGCGCCTCCAGGAGAAGTACGTGTCCTTTTGTGGCTAGTGGAAGACGATGACGTTCACGAGAGAGACTTACGTGCTGTTCACCCGCGTGCCACTTGTGGAGCCTGTGTGGCATGCGAGTATATGAGTTTAAGTAAATTACCTTTACATTTACAACACCTCGTGTCTTCAACGAAGCCCGAAGACATGATTGATTTGTGGGGTTTAACGTCCCAAAACCACCATATGATTATGAGAGACGCCGTAGTGGAGGGCTCCGGAAATTTCGACCACCTGGGGTTCTTTAACGTGCGCCCAAATCTGAGCACACGGGCCTACAACATTTCCGCCTCCAACGGAAGAAGCCCGAAGACAACACAATTAAAATATTAACTAAGCGCTCGAAACATGAACTCAGGACAGGACAATGCTATCGCGTACAACTTTTAAAGGCAAAGCTCAAGGGTCCCTAATTTTTTCGTGAGAGGAGGTAGACCTATAAGCCCAAATATGGAGAACGAGAAAGAAGAAAGAGGCCGTAGAAGCAACATTTTTTAGTATAATCACTATCATTCTTAAAAGTTGCAGGCTATAGGCGTAAATGTCTTTTTCCCCTACTGCTCTTCATAACTAGTAGATTTCGTGAATAAAGAGTATTTGCATTAAATAGGTTCATAAATTTCAATACTTTTGCTTCATTGTTGCGAAAAAGTCACTACGCCATTTGTCTGCTTATACTCAAGAGCAGCACCAAATTTGTAGTTATATATACCATGTCTCTACTGTGACTTTAAGAGAGTAAATTGGTGTTATACTTTTTGCACTTTTGTAGTGAGAACCTTCATGAGGGCCCCGAGAAGTGCTGTTATTCCACCTGTAGGCTTACCTACGAGTACGCACTGCTTTTTTTATTTTAGAACGACTGCCCAGTCATCCACAACGGAGAAAAAGCTAATGGTTCATTGAAGAATTGAAGCATTTAAATAAAGGAAGTATTTTTGAGACACATTTCATTTCTATATTTCTTCATCGGAAACACTGTGGTTTCCTATATCTCGGCAGCTCGTGAATCGAGCGCAGAAGACAACGAGGTTGCACGCAACGAAGCATTACGTGGCCAGCGCCCGGCGAAGCTTTTTCCTCTAGGCATCACCAACGTGTGCTGACGCTGTTCTCTCTGAGACGCAGTGATTGCCCACAGATCTAATGTCTTTCTTCGTTAACGCAAAGGTTGTGGACAGCGTCGAGGCTCGAGCGAACGAAGAAATTGAGCTGGACGTTCTCAGCCGGGGATCAACCACCACGGAAGACACCAGCACTACCGAGAAGAGTGCCTATGAGCGAGAGAACAGGGAGGTGAACTTGGTTCACCAGGATGGAGGCATGGAAGACGATACTACCAGCACCACTAGCAGCACCAGTAGTGCTGAGAGGAGCAGCAGGGTGAGTGACGCCACCACATCCACGTCATCCTCGCACACTGACGAAGCGGAAAGGGCGATGGCCCACCTGTCATGCCGACTGTGCTCCGAGGACGGAAGTGCGCCGGAGGAACCACTCTACCGGTGCCCGTGCCGCTGCACCGACACGTTCGTACACCGGTCTTGCCTGGAGCAGCTTTTGTACCAAGGGCCTGAGGGCGGCGTGTGCCCAGTGTGCGACACTCGTTACCCAGTGCGGCACCAGACCAAGTCGCTCTGGCTATGGTTCTGGGATCAGGGGTCGCGTGAGGATGCCAACGTGTTTTTGGCCTACCTCGTGTTCAATCTGGGTAACATCGGTGTGCTCACCATGGCTTGGATGTACGTCCTGTTCGAGTTCAGCACCAAATCATGGCTTCCGACAGCCTCACTAGGCTCAGTCCTCTTCGTTCTCTCTGTCTTCTGGATTGGGTTTGGCTGCCTGCGCCTCAGTGTCCGCTTCATGACCCTTGTGCAATGGAGGCGAGACAATACGACCCTGAAAGTGTTGTTCACGGACAAAGTCACTTAGGCCTGACAGCCCCTGCCGCCTTCGAAGCTTGGTTGGGTGTGGGAAGTCATGTGAGTCGTCTCTGAAGAGAGAACTGCGGGTCACGGGCAGTACGTGTGTGGGCGTGTGTTTTGTTTCTTTTTTTCTTTCTTTCTTACGGCACCTGAATCGGAAGTCATGGCTGCAAAAAAAGTGGGAGTTAAAGCAATAAAAAAGAAAAACAAAAAGATCGATTCTCGTTTATTTTGTATCTAATATCCTAAAAACTTCGTGGTTTAATGACTGTTATACTTCGCGGTTGGCATTGGTGACCGCGTATTTTTTTAATAGAGTGAAACGTTCGTGGAAGATCCAAAACGTCATTGGAAACGACAAAATCTAGCTCAAGTTGCTGAATGAGGCCTGCCTAAGAATAGCCGATTGAAGGCAGATTTGCGGATGAGTTGCACGCTTGAAGTATCGCCTTAATAAATTTGGGTTGTCTAATGTCTCTGTAGTTATGAGGAAAATTGAAGAGAAAACCTTGGAGGACGCTCAAGCATCTTCTTCACTTGTACAATGCGACAAGATAATCGGGGCCCCAGGCGTTTTGCCTTCTCATGCTCTAGCCTCTCTTAAGTTCTTGTTTCATGCCGAAAACGTGCCGTAGAAAACGAACGAATGTAACTGGCCGTTTCGAAGCATCATTGAGTGGCTACTGAAAGTGCAGTCAAGTGCCCACTACGCCACAATTATTCCTTTTTGCGAGTCAGCGAAGGGCCCACTACGTCCGCGTAAAGCCACACGTGAACGCACGCAGCTTCTCACCTGTCACTAAGGAAGGAAAGATAGGAGAGGGCATGCACAGGCGGTGTGCTACGTGAAAAGTGTGGAGGGAATGACATCACGGCGGCCATATTCACTGGGAACAATGGCGGCGTTGCTATGGTTACGTGTAGCGCAGTGTAGTTCGTCTAGCAGTGAGCGGCCGCGGCTGGCGGATGCATGTTTGCCTTTGCAGATCTCGTCCTGAGCCGTGACAGACATTATACGTGCTATGGACCGCGTTATTGGTTACGCAGTGTTCTCCTAGCAGTTACTGTAGTCTCAGCAACGTTTACCTAATCCTTTGTCTACCACGGGGCCTCAACGGCGCGTAGAACGAACGCTTATCTACGTGTCGGGCGGCGGATCACGCGCATGAAGCATTTGAAGCTTTTAACATAATTGCGTTGGGCATCATGACGACGTGGAACGTCGACAAACGCCTTACCGGTCAGTGACGGTAGCGCAGTGCTCCTGCTTGTGACAATGGACAAATATATTGTGACCAGCAAGACGCAATGAGGACCTTGTGTAAAAACGTAGTTTCGTGTTCGGTGTGTGTATAGTAACAACTTGCATGTGCGCATTAAAACACCGTTTCTGTTACGCTTGTTATACTCGCACCCAACATTAGGGAGTTTTATAATAGCGCACCGCTGCGCACGGCCTCTGCGCACTGCCACTGCGCATGAGTCGTAACGCGAGTCAGCGTTTGCGGATCGCACGCAGAAAATCCGAAGTTGCGTGCGGCGGTCGCGGCCCGCATGTGGCCCGCAAGCGCGGGTTTAGAGGCTACGGCGTCACTGCGACCGTGCGTTGCGGTTTGCAGCAGGGAAAACGCTATCATAAAACTCACATGGCACCCCCTACGCCCACAACGTCCACAGCGCTTGCAAACGGTGCATAAAAACTCCCTATTGTAATCTCAGCGTTAGAGCAACCACGTTGAAGTGTCACTTATACCGGGCTCAAGATCATTGCGGTTGCACAATGATGACGCCTGTGAGTTTAACGCGGAAAACGGGCACAGTGGCCTTGCGCCGCGTCAGTCGCGTGAGTGAATGCAACCATAAAAGGCGCACGACCGATCGTGTTGTCTGTACAGTTGCTGAATTAATGACGTGGAAACGCTCGCCGTTGTCGGTGCGTGTAGCGCGCGTTCTCTTGTACTTGCTTCGTTTTCAGCAAGCTGTTGATGATTGATTTGTGAGGTTTAACGTCCCTAAACCACTATATGATTACGAGAGACACCGTAGTGGAGGGCTCCGAAAATTTCGACCAACTGGGGTTCTTTAACGTGCACCCAAAATCTGAGTACACGGGCCTACAACATATCCGCCTCAATCGGAAATGCAGCCGCTACAGCCGGGATTTGATCCCGTGACCTGCGGGTCATCAGCCGAGTGCCTTAGCCACTAGAACACCGTGGTGGGGCTGTCAGCAAGCTGTTACTCGCTACTTTACTCGGACGAAATGATTTCGGCAAAAGTGTTGCACTGGCACAGAGTGTGGAGCCCCGTTAAATTGGTTTCTGATCGTTATGACACGCGCACTGCGCTCTCACGTGCTTTTCGAGCCAGAGAGACAGTCGCGCCTTCTCCTTTACATTCGGGTGTAAACAAGAGAGGAGAATTCGCCCAGTCAATATGGCCGACTTCCGGCTTCACAACGAGTGACGTCAGGGCCTCTCCTAAGTTTTTTCCTTCCTCCATGTAACCTGTTTTCTTGGTTTTGTCACCCAAAAAACATGGCTCATGCCAACAAAGTGTTTGGTGTTTTACAGCGAACGCTGTTGGGAAATCACAACTCGGGTCGCGTGCAGCGCCGTAGTTGTTCGCTGCCGCGGCCGCCACCACCATCGCCGGTGTCAGCTGCCGCACGAAATTAGAAAAAAAGAACCTAGTACCAATGACACAATTGGGCTCGAACCATGGTTCGCTGGGTGCCAGCCCAATATTTTACCACAGAGCCACGCCGGTGCTTGGGAGTTGCTGGCAAACTTGCCTTAGGCAAGCTTAATGTCGGGAAAGATATTGCTTTACGACTTATAAAGCGTTTTAAAACCACGAAAGAACAACTAGTCATCACACATGTCGAATAGCGTAACGTGTGGATCGTCCAATGCTCCAACCCATTACGAAAGCTTGTTCTTGTTGACCTATTAACTTTGGCGCATACCCACTTCAATCGAAAATTCTATTCATCAGCCACTGCATGAACAATTTGTACAGAATTCATTGCAATTGTTTAACGGATACCATGCTTCTCAGAACAATGACAACAAATAGCATCGCAAATGCCGGCCAACTACCAAGAAATTGTTAATAATATAGCCGTAGTGAGTTCGCAGCAAGCGTGCTTGCAGAGTTACCTAATGAGTGTTCATAAGAGACTCTAAAAGGCCGCTCTTCTAGCTTTCGGTGTGACTGTGCTGCGTCTCACGCGCAGGCCTGGCGTTTGTAAAGACGATATCTTTTCTTGGGGACCTTCGACGCAAAACGTCTGGTCTGTCTGTCCAATTGTCTCTATGCCAACCCTTAACAATATATGCGTACTCGAAGCGGCACCAGCCGATACCCCAGACGGCCGACCCCATCCGCAGCGCCCACCAATGTTGCCCAAGAATAAGCGTTCATACTTGTGCAATTGTCACTTAAAAAGCAATTATTGCGCATACCTAAGGCACCAGAACAACGCGTATATATTCCTTGAGTGCGTCTTTTACTAGAAAAGGCATGCATAAGTCATTATAAGAACCATAGCATTTATCACGCTGCGCTTACCCTGCAACGCTATGACGAAAGGCAAGTGTTCTCAACGCTTTGCTAAGACGACACGGTGGTGGCGCCTACCCATGCCCTTGCGTTCTACAACTTATCACCTTAAAGACGGGCGCGCACGCCCGTCTCAGAGCCGCACGCTTCCTTTTCCAAGATAACTACCAGATAGCGCTCATGTCTCACGTGTGACATGACTTGATGCGCTCGTTCGCCTCCGCTGCACGCTCGAGGTGCTCTAACGCAGCGCCTTAAGAATACCATTCACCAATTTTCTTCCCCAGGACATCAAATAAACGTTTTGTCCACTCTCTCCAGACGCAACATTATTGTCTCAGTTCGATGTCATTAGCAGATTAACATGCAGATACGGGGCCGATTTTTTTCTTTTCTAACTTATTATTTGCTGAGTAGCCATCAGCGTTCTCTTTTTCATTTATAATGGGAGTGTTTCTATATGAACGGAACCAATAATTTAAAAGAAAAAGAAACTGGTGAGTGGCTGCCACTTGCTCCGGTACACAGTTCATTCGGAAGCCCACAGCTGTGCTGCGGGCGAAAGCTGCCTTTATATGTAGTTTGGCGGCTTCAGAAACTCTATACATGTCCTTGTAACTTTAGCCAGAGTTTAAAACTATGCCGGCACACGCAATTACAACGCGACCAAACGCATGTTGCTCACCGTTGCTTTGAGTTAGTCAGACTATTATTTGTGTTCTCAAATATTGTTTATTTAGCTATGATTATTTAACTAACATTTTACGAAACGAAGATAGATAAAAATTTAAATAGGAAAGTTGTAGATCAGTGTGCGGAACGTTCGATTAGACAGTTTTGAACTTAATATCTGTTAGGTATTACTGTTTTCATTTTGCTAATTGCAAATGCCCGCGAAATACCAAAAATATCCTGTGACAAACCCGCTAATGCGCCTGTGCGCACAATTATTCTAGTGCTCCCCAATGTTCTGCGTACGAACGACCATAGCATTCGCCCCATTGTACTGTCTCGGCAGGGTTGCAACGATGGTGGTGGCGTTACGAATAACACGTTTTGCTATCAGCCACCAAAAAATAACCGTGGCGACTCCTTATTGCTGGCATGAACCGGTGCGAGGGAGGCGTGTCGTTCATATGTGGAACGTTAGGAAGCACTAAAATCATCGTGCGCACTGAAGTGCCAGCGGGTCTGTTACGTGGTATCTTTTTTTTCTATTTCTCGGGCATTTGTAATTACCAGAAAAACACAAATACTTTAAAGATATAAAGTTCAATATTGTCTATTTGGCCATTTTGCAAACGGATCTACAACTTTCTCATTGAAATTTTTTATACATCTTTGTTCCTTCAAAGGTTAGGTAATTCGACAGATCTAAGTAAACAATATTTGAGAACACAAAAAATTTTCTAACTCCACGCAACGGTGAGCAACATGCATTCG